GAAAAACCAAGCCACCGATTAAGTTGGTATCCTTGCTTGTATGTGTTTGTGTTTGTGTTTGTGTTTGTGTGTTGTGTGTGTGTGTTGTGTGCGTGTGTGATCGTGTGTGTTTGCTCTTAATGTGTGTGTGTGTATGGTTCTCTTGTGCGAGTATGGTGTGTATGGTGTTTATGTGACATACGCGAGGTGAGCTGTGTCCTCGATGGGCGTGGTTCCAGCATGACTAGTTTTTATTCCGCTGCTGTGCTGACGTGTCCAACGCGGAGTCGTTTTCCTCGGTAACATATGCTTTACCTTGATCAGGGCTCCTTAAAGGATACATTTTGCCCATTTGAAACATGGCTTTTTCCACCAAAATAAAGGGAAACTACCATTTACAAGGCAGTGTTCAGGTGTATAATGTAAGCATCCCTGTTGATAACACATTCTTTCATCACCGCTTGCAACTGAGAGAACCTGGACATGTTCGGTGCTCGCCCGACATGATATTCATGCAAAGAAGCTGCGCGGCTGCGGCTGCAGGCTGTCTTCAACCGGCTTGAGGATGACGATGAAGGCAAGGAACAGGGGTGGGATGTGTAGCAACGGCTTAAACTACTGTGGATGAACAATATCCTGCACTACTTTGAACCATGGGAACCAATTTGTTTGTTGGTATTTACAGGGGACTCGTCATTCCAGAGACTCTTAGGTGGTGCAGGATTTCGTCCATCCACAGTATTACTACTCACGATTGTATCCAATGTGTTTGCCAATGTTCCCAGAGCCAGTGCATAGGTTGGCTTCCATGGCAGCAGTTCAACATACCCATGCTGACCATATGTCCAACCGGTCCCCAGGTGCATGGGCTTGTGTCATTGAGGAGCTATTCCAGTGCGCGTATTCGAAAATCAAGCACACTGAATTCGTTGTTCAGACCATTTTGGGTTTGTTCTAGTTTGCCATTCGACCTTACAACCTGTGGTGCAGAGTGCGGGCACTTGGATGATAGAGCGGGCCGCCCATGTCCACATTGCGTCTCCGTGGGGGGTATCTTGCACGGCTATTAATTTTTACATGGCAGCCCCCTAAAAAGTGGTTGACATGAATCCCCACCGAATCTTGATGTCCACAAAAATGCAATCACTTAATGCCCTATGAAAGTTTGACCCTGTGAATATGCTGGACGATCAACCGCGGGCCTCCCTAAATCCAGCCTTGTGCTTGAATTGCTGAGCGCCGGATTGATGAGTTATTGATATGGGCTTGAGCATGGAGTAATTAAATACCTCTGTTTGGTTGGTATTTGACTACCAACCAAACTGCCATTTTAGGGGTGAAGTATTTTTCAGAAACCCATATGTGCTCAAAATGCGCCACAAAGCAACGCAACCCAACTTGAAAAGCTCGCCGCAGGCAAAATTCACGCGCAGTTGCCCCAAAGACGATTCGTAACGAAAAGGCATAATTTTTGAGCATGCAGGAAGGTCCAGGTGTCAAGCGGCCTTTTTTGGCTCAATTTGGTTGTTAAGCGCAATCTCCCCCGAACCTACAGGCGAAAATTCCCGACCAATTTCCCGACCAACATCCGAAATTTCGCGACCGCGGCTCAAATGACCACCAGCGTCTTTTCGCCCTGAAAGCATTTGTTTACGCCAAAGCGAAAAAAGCGTGTTTTTTGGCCAACGCTTAAATTGTTTGACCCCCGGAAGGTCCAGGTTTTGGTTCTAACAAAGTTTTTTTTCCATTTGGGTGAGCACCAATGTAGCTGGGGACTCGAAAGCAGCGTTCTATGGTCGGTTATCCTAGGCCATGTTTAAGTGGAACCCGTTGGTTCCATAAGGGGCACTTCCGCTGAGGCCATTGGTCGGTGTAACCCCAGAGAAAACGTGCTATTTGGTTTTCTGCCGGGTTTTTCTGAGCGGTGTCAGACCCAGATGCGCAGGTTTCATCCATTTTCATCCTTGCTCCTTTTTGGTCGGGTTCCGGATTTTCCTTTCAAATCAACAACCAACAAAATGAAAGCAAACAACAAGAACAAACAAGAACCAACAAGAACCAACCAACAAAACAGAGCATTCCCATCAACTAAGCCCAACACCAATCAGCCAATCCCAACCCAACCCGGGGGCTGATCGCGGATCGCAGGAGCTCCAAGATCCAAGAAGCAGGTGGGGAGCGGCCCAGAATGGGCGGGCTGACCCTCAAAACGACGTGCTTTCAGTCCGGTCATTGCCAGACCAAAATGTTACCTCTTTACTTCCCCATGTTTAGCTCCCCTTTTTGTGTTTTTGCTGTTTTGGGGTCCCTTTGTTTTCCACTAACCAGGCAACAAATATATTTTTGCTGGGGTCCTAATTCCAGCCTAGTTTACGACCATTTGCCTTTTGGTGTCATGTCCATTGTCCATTTTACCTGTTGCATCTTGGGGCCGATTCCTATGTTGGAACCGCGCCCGTGTTTTTTGCATTGCCAACGAAGAGTCGACATGTTGCAGGGGCTTTCGCTGGATGAATAGGGGTGCATTGCAAAAAAAGTGATCAGATTCAGAGGATTCCACCCAAATCCCTTTTCTGTTGGTGGCTCCGCTACACACGTTCCAACCCCCAAAGAAGGGCTCCGAGTCTTTTTCTACCGTCACTGGGCAATTGGGCTGGGGATGAGTATTCTCAACTTTGTGCGAGGGCATTGGACCGTACTTCGTAATTGAGTCTAAGTCTGAGTGATGTGACCGACACGGGGAATAGCCACGAATAGCCACGGTTAGTCTCCCCGCATGTTTACCCATCTGAGAACTGGGAACCTTGGATGAATCAAGCTTTAAGATGTTAAGGGGCAGCCATTCCCGTGCAGAGTCTGGCGTGAAGCTGTTGTGCTGTACTTGCGGGCTTCTCGCATGTTTCAATGGAACATGGCCAACGCAATTTGTGTATCTAGTTTTGCGCTGGATGGTTTGGAGCTTGATGGTCCCAGTAGGTAACCGCTGGATGGTGTCGAGGGGTTGCTGTTCCCAGCAACCAAGAGATATCGTGGCAACAATCCTTGTGCCTATTTTATAGCAAGCTCACCGATTCGGGGGTATAAGGAGAAAGGTTGGTGGCCAGATGGTTCTGTCCTCAAGGCAGGGCCTGGCTCCATTTTCCCTGCAGGGCTGAGGTGTGGGTGGCAGAAGTCTTTCTTGCGGTCGACTCACCCGCGCAAGTTTACAGAGACCGCGCTTGTGTTGCCTGGCAAGGCTTTCTCGCAGCTCGTGAAGTCTGTCCACAGGGAGGCTTCTGATGTTTGGGCCCAGGTGTGGGCGGTTTATGCTGAACGGCTGGAGCATTGGGGCATACCACCTCTTGCACTCGTATGGGTCCCTGCCCGCACGGACAGCGCCAACGGGCGGCTGCACCGACTGCAACCGTCTCCGGCTGTTGTGGCAGACCTGCAACGGCATGTGCGACTTAACGCGGTGGCCGACCAAGCGGCTCGGGAGGCTGTTTTCGAATTGCTCACAGTTGACAACTGGGACTTGGATTGCATGTTCTACATCACCCTCCGTTGGCGCGTTTTCCGGACCGTGTCAAACGTAGAACGGAGAAGCAAACATCGCCCTTATGCCACCAGGCCTCTCGAAAGAAGTCAGTCACTGCCTGCCAAACACGCTCCCCAAATTTCCAGCACCGCGCCTGCAAAGCCAAAATTGCGCCAAAAAGGGCGCGAGCCACCAGTGCAGGGGCCATCTCCCTCTCGGGTAGCACGGCGTCTCGTGGATCAGTCAGCACCTCGCCTTCTTTTTTCCCACTACAGGAACAAGTACACCCCTGCCCTCGGCTCCACAAGTGCTTCGGCCGCCGACCTTCTGGGCTGGCACCGCAAGGTGCTCTACCGCCTCAGGCAAACCTGGCTCCTGTGCCTGACTACAATAAGAAGGCCAAGCGCAGTGGGCAGCTTGCCCCAAGCAAGTTTGGAAAGGGGCAAAGTTTCTTGTTGAGCAGCAGGCGGGGATTCGTGCAGCTGGCAAGACTGGGCCTTTTCGCTCGCCGGCACTTTTTCGTGTCGCCCAGGGCCCTGAGAACCTTGGTTTGAGATGGAGACGTTTGCCGGCAGCAGAGATGAAAGTCTTTATTTGGGGATCCGATTCTCAATTCAGCTTTTGGAATTGTAGTAGAACATGCAGATTCCTTCAAGCAGTGTCCGCTTAAGCCTTATCCCTTAATTCAGCTTTTGGAACTATAGTAAGATCTGCAGATCCTTAGCTGCAAAAGGGGTATGGATCCACTGCGCTGATCAGCGCCAGGTGGTGGAAGCGAAACACCTCGGAGCTGAAGACAAGCAGGCGGAGTGAGTCCGGCTTGGGAGGACATGGGCTTCACGAGTGGAATATGGTTGTGTTGGGCAGGGTGACTACTTGGGTGATCAATTCGCCAAGCTAGCAAGTTGTTGGCATAGGGTATAACCCACTAAGTTCCCCGCTCAGTGGGGTTAACATTCGGGGGGGTTACGCCCCAAGTGGCTAACCACTTACAAACTGGGCCGAGCATCCAAGTAGAGATCTCCAGTTGCATGTGTTTGTTCCTGTGCCTTTTGGGGTGTGTTAAAATTCACTTTCGGAGATGAGCGGGATTTGGGAGTGGTGGATTGGGCGCGGTGGACAAATCGGTGGTGACATTCGTTACCATTTTGGCCGTTTCTGTCACCTTATTTCACGACACGGCCTGTCCGGCAGGTGATCATCACGGCCCTGTCCGGCGCAGTGAACATCGCCGCTCGGCTGCGATGGATGGCCCAAATCCGTGGCAGCCTTTGTCCCGTTTGTGGGTGAAGCATTGAGGGTGAAGTGACCGACCTGTGCCGCACTTCAAACCAGACCCCAGAGGAATGTTCAGAAACTGGCGTGAAATTCCTGTGGGTCAAAACCAATGGTACCATTTTGGGGTGGGTGCACCACTCATTGTACAGTAATCTATTTTAGTGGGGATTGGGATGTTCACTGTAAACGGGCTTTTGACCCATGGCCAAATCAAGTCACCTGTCAACTCAAGATTTATGCTCAAGGCCTCACGGCCGGATTTTTTTTGCGTTGCTTCGCCCGTCATGCAGAAGCCAGAAGCTGTGCAGATGGCGATGGGCGTGTGGATTATCCTGTTGGAACTTCTGACCATCATGTTGCTGGTGAGGCTGTGTCCTGGTTCTTGAGAAACATTTTGCATTTTCGCTTAGCCTGGTTTGCTTGAAATCCAACAACTTAACTGCTAAATTGTTCAATTCTTTGCCCAAACCCGACGTCCAAGGTGTGCTCTGTCCCTTGGGAGCTGCCGCGCCAAGCTGCGGAAGTTCAAGAGCTTTGTTTGGCAATGCTGCCGGAATGGACCTACAAAGAACGTCGACCAGCACTTCAGCTGCAAGCGAACCGAGATGTCATTGATGTTTTTTTTGCTTTTCGTATGATCGCCTTCTATTTCTCCAGCAATATTCCACAAATAACTGATTCTATGTCCAGTTTTTTCATTTTGTGGGCATTTGAGGCACATCATCGACAAGTTTCATGAAACCCAGTGCACCATCTTGACGGTAGGCAGCGGCGTCTTTGCCATCGCGCTCTTCTTGCGCCTATTGGCAGTCCACCCCTTCCTTCTGAGTCACTTCGCTGTTGAAACATGTTTTTTTTTTGTTGTTTTCTCTTCGGTTTTGTAAGTGTTTGGTTAGTGATTTCTTGTTTTTGTGTGGTAGGCTCTTTGTTTTGTTTTGGGCATGAACTGTGGTTGTAGGTTGATTGGTTCTGTTCATTTTTTGATGGCTGCAAAGCACCTAAAGTTGTTTGCTACCATGCCAAGAGTTGTACAGGTAAACAAGAACACAACTTGCAGCACACCCTTGATTACACCAACGTGATCGCCTACCCACTGTGTCTTGTTCTTGCGTTCAGGGCGAAGGGCATCGTGACACCCAGCAGCCTGGGTCCTTGGTATATCGCACTCCAAACCCTTTGTGTGATTCCGGTGGGCCTGGCTGAACCTGATGACGTCCAGAGAGTGTCGCTGGTCACTCTTCTTCCTCGGGTGCTCATAGGCCAAGCGGCGCCTACATGGTGGTTGCCGATTTTTGGCAACTTGATCCAACTCCTGGTGGTGATTCCCAAGGTTCTGAGTCAGCACGATGTGGTTCTGACACAGGCTGCAGAGCTTTTCATGCTGATCACAGCCTGTCAAGTCATGCGCTGGCAGGTCTTTGAGATCGTTTCTATCAGCCAGCGTCTGAGGAAGTGCACCATCGACATGCAGGCTGTTTCCACGCTGCTGCTGGGATTCTGCGACGCCGTGGTGGAGATTGACAACTCCATGAAGCTTACGGAGGACTGCCGACAGCTCAGCACCATGCTCTTGCACAGCCGCGCATCCGAGTGCCTCGGCCGAGACTTTTTGAGCTTCTTCTGCCCGGAAGATCGCAAGCACATTCAGGAGTCCTTGACTGGGGAGCGCTTCAGCAAAACCGTGGCGCTGAACGCGCGGATGCTGGACTCCTTAAACAACTTCCTTCGGGTGGAGCTGCTGCACATCCAATTTCTGAATGCCCAAGGTGAGGAGTGCTGGCTGGTGGGCATGCGAGAGTTCCAAGACATGGATAACTCCATCGCCCCACTGCCCTGCGAGGCTGAGGAGTCGAAGGCATGCATCATGTTTCTTGGCTGCATTTTGCCAAGGGATGTTAGGACTTTAACTTTTGGCCAACGAATCTGGGTTTTCCAAATTAAACCACGAAAAGTTATTCGCTTTTAGCAGGGGAGCAGATTTCGCAACCGAGGTTTGATTGCAACAGCATGGAGATTCTGACGGTGAACAGCGAGATTCAGAAGATCCAGCCAGGTGTGATCTTTGAGGGCATGCACTTGGCTGACCTGCCAGGGAGTGACATCTACGAGTTGCTTCTACAGATTCAAGGGGCGGTGAACGGCTTCTATGAGACCAGCACCGTGCGCCCGGTACATGTGGATCTCCAGATTCTGGCGAAGCGGTACGAAGGAGACTTGACTCTGCAAGAAGACCAGCTCTTGGAAACTTTGGTGGGCACTCTGCAGCTTCGTTTTGCAGGATCTCCCTTGACGGAGCAGAACTTAAAGAGACTTGCAGCGGCGCCCGCGACGAAGCGGTCCAAGAAGCGATCCAGGAACCCTTCCTCAAAGGGTTCGCGGAGCTCTGGCAGCCAGCAAGGCTCCATCCTGCAGCTTCGGCTGCCGGTTTCCCTGTGAGCCGGCCTGGGGAGGTTTGGTTTTATGATTCTTCGGAAGGGATGCATCCCTTCCTTTTTGGTTTCAGAAGTTGGAGGTAGAAGTATCCAATTCTTCAACCCGAATGAATGTTATGTTGACGCTCGAAAGGGCAAGTGACGCTGAGAGCGATGTGTATCACCCTCCTTTTGTCTCACGGCTCACACCACCGGATCGCGTGGTAGGCCAAGAGAGAGATAGAGCAGCCACTTTTCGCCGAGAGTCACTCGGATCCTTGCTTGGGGGTCCTCAATTTCAGGCCTGGTGAGCCATATCTTTCACCCAGTCCTGTTGGTGCCTTTCTGCCAACCATATTGAACGGCTTCCTGTATGAATACGTTCCCCTTTTCCCTCTCCGGATCCGCGCATCCGACTATGCCTTCGGTAGGGTCGCTCCGAGCCCAAAGACAACCACCAGAGGACATGTCCTCCCTTTTAAAGGGAGAGATCGTCAATTTTGAAGGCGTGCAAGGTGTTCCAACTTCCACAACCCCGCATGTGTGCCCAACTTCTTGGCGGAAAACCGCTCAGGTTCGCTCGGACTTGTCCAAGTTCTCAGAGGCAGCGAGTCACTGTCGAGGGGAAAAGTCTGGTAAGGCGTTTACAACTCTGTGGGTTGAGGGCTGCTTGAAATTCAATATCACGCAGTCATGATGCGATTATTTCATTCCGCGTATTGTTCAACTGCAGGGTTTGCGGGGGGGACTTTGGGGTGTGTGACTACCATGACATCAGAAAGAGTCTGTGAAGTTCTTATGTCAGTTGCCAGCTGATCGCCTGGACTCCTGGACCCCCAAGTGGCCGAGTTGGTTTGTGGCAAATGAGTCATCACTTCCGAAGGGGTTGGTCAAAAACTTTGGAGCCAATTCGAAGGGGGAGTCAGAGGGTGATAACCGAACATAGACCTTGTCCCCCAAAAGTCAGAATCTTTGTTACGGGGCTGTCAACCGGAATCCGCTTGAACGCACGTTGGCTGAAGGGCTCTTGCGGCCTTGTTCACTGATCCCAGAACTCAGTGTCCCGAGTCAAGTCATCATCTGAGGTGCAGGTTCATGCCGGTCTAAATTGCTGCTAGAAAACCCGCGAAAGAAGCCTCAAGGTCATAGGAACATGTTTCGAGTATTTTGTCGCTTTTGGTTTCCCAGGTAATTAACGCTCAAATCGGCGCTTCTGTTGATCCTCCTTGTAACCACATAGCTCGCTCGTCTCTTATGTCCCGAAGGCCAAAGTGGTTGTTTTCCTTTGGGTTTCCCTTTAAAACCACCCAAAACGGGGGTGCCCTCAGCTAAAAACGACACCCAGATGGAATCCTGCACTCATGCAGGCAGTCCAAATAGGGGGCCAAAAATTGTGGTTTCCTCTTGGCTTCCCTTTGACCCTAAACCCCAAATGCTAGCCTCCAACTCCAAGGAGGCCTTGGCGCCTCCACGCCTCGCAGGCTTTGGCCATCAACCTGCAGGGCGGTCCCATCAGCCTGGAACGGGACCCTTTGTTGGTGCGGAACATCCTCCGTACCCTGCCGGGGCGCTTGGGTGCTTGGGCAGGATTGCTCGCTTGGGCGCGCTTGAGCGTGCCTTGAGTTTTTTGTTGTTTTGCTTTTGCGGTTTGAGGGAAAGGGGTGTGTCTTCAAGTGTAATGCTGAGATAAGGAGCCCCGATTTGTCGAGCTGGCTCCAGCAAATGCTCCAGCTTCCCATAGTCAAGCAAGAAGCTATGATCGAAGGCGAAAGCAGCAAAATGAGAGTCATCCATCAACACGTAGGACGCCTGGTCACACCGGCAAAGCGACAGGGAGAGTAGCACTGGGCAGCTGGGCCAGGCCCTGTCGACGTATCTTGGGTCTCCTCCTGGCCGCCTTATACAGGTAAGAGAAACACGCCCCTGCCATTTCACGAGCCAAAGTTCTACCAATTGCTCAGTTTGGGGCCTCTTAGTTCCATGTTTGCCAGAAAGGATGGCCCCATGGACTTGTTTGCGACTGCTCAAGGATGGAGATCCACTTCCCTTTGCACCTGCTTCAATGGGATGAAGCCGAAAATATTTGAACACAACTTTGCACAAGATCGGTTCAGGATCCTCATAGGGATTTCCGTCCTGGGTGTCTTTTTGTTGTTGCCTGCTTATACCGCATTTATAAATTCGTCCAGTGGAGGCAGCGTCAAAGTGCTTGCCACCATAAAAACCGGGTTCTTGCCTGTGGATTCTGCTTATGTGTGTGTGTGTGTGTCGTGTCTTTTCTCAGGGCACCCATTCGTGGGTTGCTTTAAAGGGAAGCAAAAGGGACTCCACCGATTTTGGGATTCCCTAACACACTTAGAAGAGAGAAGCCATTTTTTGTATATAAGATTCCCTTGCCTTACACACTCTACTTATAAGAGACAAGCCACATTTTGCGTGCGTGCGTGCGTGCGTGGGTGTGTGTGTTTTGGACGGAAGAGGGTCGGTGGCCACCTTAAGGGTTTCATGTGGACTCGACAAATCCCACCAGATGCAGGTCCATAGGTGTCCTTTTTAGGCTAATTTAGCCCAAAATAGATGGCACTGGTTTAGATAGGGTTTCTTTCATTTACCAGGGCCATCCATTTTTCAAAAAGGCCACCTATGTGCAGGTCTTTGTTTTGGGCTCATTTTTCCTCCTTGTGGAGCGATCAAGGGGATAGATCCTACTATGGATGCCCGAAATCCGTTCGCGCCACTCTGAAACCATGGGAATGCAACTGGTTTTTTTACGTTCGGGAAGCGAATCCGAGACGAAAATTTCCGAGTCCCGTCTTCCTCGAAAGGGATTTGGCAAGCATCAACAGAGAAGAGCCGGCCCAGGATCAGGATGGTCGCCTTCGAAGACTGCCCCACTCGCTTCTCGGCCAGCCGTTTCTGGTCGGAGAGGCGAACGCAAGTCAAATGCTACAGCTTCGGAAGCTTCAAGTTTAAAACAAAGAGACATGGCTGTGGTTGTCAAAACCAATGGGATCCCATTTTGGTTGGTAGGTGAATTCACCACCCATTTTAGAACCTATTTTAGTGGTTGGATTGGGATGTTCACTGGGGGTGCGGGATTTTGAACCATGGCCACATACTAAAGACTGCTACTCTTAGTAAGACATTATACTGTTTTAGTTACGTCCCCTAACACATATCTGGGCCAAATATGAAAACTGTATATACACAATGGATTAAGTCGGAATAATATGATTATTATGGTTCTAAGAGAAATGAATGCCAGTCCACCACTGAAAAAATAACTCTGTAAATATAACATAATTGCAACATGTTCACAGATGAGTAAGGTAGAACATATCAATAATAAATGTCTATGAATCTGTTGTTACATCAAATTGTGTTGATTTCGAAAATACACGAAGTCTAAAGACTAAGCACAACTCATAAAGAACACACTGATCTATTAGTAAGTATTACGCAATGAAAGAACACAAATGTAAAACTAAGATGATACGACACGTAATGAATAGAACAACAGAAGCTGATATAAGTCAATTCACAATGATACCCTAGTTATGGCCTAGACGTGTATTGGTTTCTATCCTGTATCTCTGCTTGGTGGCTATCTCCCTCAAAGGTCAGAGGCTAGAATTCGCCAACTTATATGAAACTCGAAATTTGTACCAACTTTCTTCAACTCAGAGCCTTGTTTCTCTCAAGTTGCATTTCTCGGGTTATTTTGCATCCCGCAGTGGAGCCTTTTGAGTCACAAAGGAGACTAGTTGGCGCCAGTCAGATCAATTTAGCGGTTGATTTGAAAAATACCCTGGCGCCTTGCAGGTGGCTTGGGATGTGGCTGTGGGTCAAAACCAATGGTACCATTTTGGGGTAGGTGCACCGGCCATTTTGGTCTATTTTAGTGGTTGGATTGGGATGTTCACTGGGAGCTAACCGGGCTTTTGACCCATGGCCATGTAACCTTGGAGGCACCCTGAGCGACACCTTCATTTCCCAAAAAAAAAACAGGAACGCGCGACATTGGGCTCGTGTGTCTTGCTTCGCGGGAAGCGCTGAAGTCCGTCAGCGCATGTGCAGCCCCGTAAGAGGCTGTATAAGGGGCTAAATAAATGTTAACAACACAATGCTCCTACTGTAACAGCTTGTGATCCATGTCAGAGCCCAAATTCAGGAGTTGTGAGATGCAAGCCTAAAAGATGAGTTGACCTGATATAAATATAGTTATGTCGGCTCTGAGGCAGACTTGTGTATTTCTCATGTTTTTTGGTGAAGGCAAGATCTCAACATTAGCGTTTCGCCCCAGGGAAGTTCTTTGTCTAGCATATGATCCAACATGACTGATGCCCGTTATTCAAGGGCACTCCTTGTCAAACCTGGGTGTATGGGCACCAAACGAACATGAGCCTACGGAACGAGACGAGTTTCAACTCCCAAGCACCAGGCGCTATGCGCCACGGACGCGACGCGACGGCCTCTCATTGTTTCCTTTGGCTGGCCTCCCAAGAGCTGTTTCTGCCAGCCGAGCCCAGGTTTTCTCCGTGGAAAGTTTTTGGCTTCCCGAGTAGGGGTGTGTTCTTTTTCTTGCAACAGCCCTGGGTATGGTTTTTGTGGGAACCGGAAAGCCGCAAAAATTGCAAGTTGAGCTTCTTCTCTTCTTTGCCCTTGGTATGTTGTATTTTTCCCGCGGAAAATGAAGGCCATCCATCAATTCTGACTCCCTTCTTCGGTTCCACTTCTGAGGCTCCCAACTTTGGTCCCACTCAGCCCCAAGCCACCAATCCACGAGGCTCCCCGTCTGATCCACCGATCAAGCCTCGAGCGGCGCCAAGGCTTCGTGGAGTCCCAGCACACCTCTTCGGAGCTGATGCGCCGCCGGCGGACGTTAAAGCCCGAAGTTGCCACCTTGGGGTCGGCTCTCGTTGAAGCCCAAAGCGAAGCGACCTGCTAACGCCTTTTAAGGGTTCCCCGAGTTGGTCCGTGTTTGGAGGTGAACCACAATCAAAGCCGATTCCGGTAGATAGAAGGGGACAATCATGAACAACCCCAACCAGAACTGGCTGCCGATATTCGCCTTAGTTCCTTTACATGGTTCTGGGTAGATGGTTATGTCTCCTTTGCCAAAGGCGAAGCGACCTTTCAACCTGTTGGGTTTTCCGATTTGGTCCATGTGTTTGAGGTCCCAAAAGGTTCGCCTTTTGTTTCCGGGCCTTTGGGAAAGTGAGTCAGGTGTGCAAGAATTCTACGAGCGTCTGAAAGCAAACCAAAACAAACAAGGATGTCTTCACATGTAGTTGTTGCTTTATTCCCTCACTCTCTCTCTCCTCTCTCTTTCTCTCTCTCTCTCTCTCCCTTTCCTGTACGTCATAGAATGAATCTCTTGGTGTATATTCCAAGCAACCAAGTTGGTCTGCCAATTTCTACCTTGAACCAAGTTGGTCTTTTCTTT